TTACTACTCTTCTAAAAAAATTTGTATTTTTAACCAAAAATGTAAACATTAAATATAAAAAATAACCATATTATGAAACTATATTAAAAAGCACACCGTTTACATTTATAATATATAACGATAACCCCACAATATGAAGAAATTTTATTTCATAAATGTTTATCAAAAAAAAAAAAAATTCTGATTACCATCGGTTTTAGTGAAAATCTAAATTATAGATCGCGTATTGGCGTGAATGTCAATATACCGCTTTGCCGCGCCCCGCACCAGTCTTAGTCAGCCAACAAACATCGTAGAAGGTTCACGCTTGTTCGTGGAAAAAAATATTTACAGGTAAAGTTTCGCGGGAGGAGATTATTCTGGAATCGTCCTCTTTCCTGTCGTCCATATTATTACACATACATACATAAATACATAAACACTCACGCCTGTCACCCAGAGGGGTAGGCAGAGATTACAGACTTCCATTTGGCACGATCCTGACACACCTTTCTCGCCTCCTTCACATCATACACCTACGCATACATGCTCGTCGGTTAAGGGTACTCCTAATTTGGCCCGTTTTCAATAAATCGCCAATTCGGTCGATAAATTTTCGCCTAGGACGTCCCTTACCGACTCTGCCATTCACTTCTGCAACATAAATTTTCTTTGTCACTCTTTCCTCATTCATTCTTTCCACATGACCAAACCACCGAAGCATTCCTTTCTTAATCCTGGTCACAACATCATCTTGCAAACCACACTCTTCTCTTATTACACAATTTCTTACCCTGTCGTTCAGATTCAGCCCTAACATACTCCTTAAGGACCGCATTTCTACTGCGTTGATTCTACTCTCATGCTTCTTCTGCCACACCCAACTTTCACTACCATACGTTAAAGTAGGGACCTACACAGCATTGTGAATTGCTATACGTGCCTTTTTTGACACATTTTGACTCTTCACAATAGAGTGCAGGGCCCCATTTACTCTATTTCCATATTATTAAGTGAGTATTAATGATTTTGTTTAATATGTAGTTAATTATCAATTCTAGTGATTACCGCCGTAATTTAAAATAAGCACGAGATTCGTAATTTTGATACTTTTTACGAAACAATTAAATAAGAATAAAAACCTCATTACCTACGTCCTCATTACCTTCTTTTACCGTCGTTTTTTTAGCGATGGTGATAAGGTCAAAACGATGATAATTAGAATCAATTTTACGTCAATTTATTATTCATTTATTACGTCATTATTTATTACAGTGCATTATTACATTGCAAACCGTATGGTCGCGAGTTGTCCCACCCGTAGTTGAGATTTTTTTCCACAATAATACTACAACGATACAGTTATAATAATACTTTAATTCATAATAAAATAAAGAATTAATATTTTTTACATTGTTTCCTGATGTAGCTTTAAGTTTGTTTATAAATAGTAAACTCACAAGCTAACCTTGACCTTGATGAGCTTGATATGATCAATATGAGCAATATCATATAATGTGTTGTTACAGATTATTAAGAACTAATAATGCCAAAGAAAGCCAAACAAACATTGGAGCAGAAACGGGAGCGCGATCGATTACAAAAACAAAGAAAGTATGCAGAAATTGATGAAAATCCCTCATCATCCCTATCCCTTCACCTAAGAGGGTAGACGGGCCGCATTTTTTCCATACAAACGTATTCCCCTATTTTCTTCCTGCATATTGCCTCTAGAGTAATCGTTTTTGTTTATAAAAATCTAGATCTATTGAAGGCATGCCCCTGTTATTTACTTTTTTTCAAAATATTATTACAAAAATAAATATGACTTTCCAAAAACCTAAAAAAAATCCTCCGTTTTTACCTCCGTAATCAGACGACTACCAAAGAAATTTAAAAAGTTTTTAAGATAAAAGCAAATGATAGAAGCATAGATCTATTCTATTGATACCAAAAGTAATTTAATTGGCATAGTTTTCGAGGAAAAAACAGAGGAATACGAAACGATGATCGGTCATGGTTTTTGTAGGTAAAATCGTTTTGAGCTGCAGTTGTCCTAATCGCACCCTTCGGGTGGAGACCAGAGATGAGGGACGGCAACAGTTTCTTCAAATACCTATTTTTCAATTCCCGCGCAGACCGACTATCCTCGTAACGACTCAATATCATTACCCTCCTTGACGTTCTCATTACCGTTTCATTACGATTTTTGATATGATAGTAATTTTATTGTTATCTATACAAGGAAGGTAGAAACCACAAAAAGTTGAAGGATTTTATGGATATTAAAGATATTGGGGAAAAAAACGAAGTTATTCGGCAAAAAATTTGAAATTTACAAATGTCATGGAATTTGCACGAAATACGCGAAACACCCATTACAGAAAACTGTTTTTGACTTGATTAGTTCGATTAATTTGGTAGGGCCCCAACTATTGTTAGCCCAGAGCCCCACAAATTCACGGTCCGCCCCTGAACATATAACACCAAATAATTCGAAAAGGTGTTTGATAAAACGCGAAGAATTATCACAGAAGATTGGCAACGTGATGTCCGCTTTGATTAATTTTGTGTGATCAGGAATTAATAATTAATCTCGAAGATTGTTTCAGTGATTGATTCAGATGATGATGGTTATGACTTAAGATGTACACCCTTGTGTCAATAAATAAATTTACTAATGCTAATTTTTTATTAGCCCAAATTAACTCCTAATGTTTTTACTTGGTTAAAATAAGTATTGAGTACATACTTTTTATTAATAGTTATGAATACTGTTGCGCGCTATAATTAGCACCCGGTATGTGACGGCTGATTATTAGCGCCATTTGGTACCAAGCAGCAGAAATAGGAGCGTTAAGATCTTTCTAGAACTCCTTCCACTTGCGCCATCTAGTATCGAATAGAAGAAATAAGCTTTCTAGAAAACTCCACACACGAATTTTCCACATCTTGTCGGTCGGGACCGCTATTTGCTGGCACATTCTAGATGTTTCGGTGGAAAAGGCCTATATGAAGCCGTTATGGCCGCGACCGGGGCAGGATTGAATTGGAGATAAGAGCGAAGCTTTCGAACCGAAATAAAGTGAACTAAAGTGTTAAGTGTGATTAATTATTTGTGTGATTTAAGTTTTAATTGATTTTCTGTAATTTAAGTGTCAATTTTGGTAATTCAATAGGCAGTTTTACGAACCTTACGACACGAACACGAACCTTAAGCTCGTAACAATACTTTATCGATATATTGATTTAATGTTCCCAGCACTACTCACGTCAGAATGACAGCTGTAATTCTAATCAAGATGTATTTACTGTAGTTGTTTGTTATTGTCTACGTAGGCATGGAGGTAAGAGAACAGGAGAACGATTGCTGTATAAAATTGTGTCCAGAAATATGGACAAAATAAGTGAGGCGCTGCGGTCACTAAGTTGTCTCAATAAAAGCGGGCTGTTTTGCGCTAGTTTGAAATGATTATGACATCATTCAAAGAAAAAAAAAGAAATAACTATATATTATTATTTATTAACATAAAAATTATGTTTTCATAATGTTTATTATAAAATATTATAAATTATTATAAATATAAATTATTAATTTTATTGATTTATTATTATATAATTTCACCGTTTTTTAATGTTTCATTTTGTCAATAATTAAAAAATTACTTCGCAGTTACTACTTATCGACGGCAGCGCGGCTGTAAATTCTAAAAATTTTCAGGAACAGGCGAGCTATACTTTAGCACGTAGCGATCCTTCTCCTCATTTCTAACCTCCATGTCCGTAGATAAAGGATTGATAAAATACTAAGTCTAGGCCATGAAATGAAGGCGTGGCTTAAAAGTCAAGCATCCAAGCCATAAATCTTCATAGAAAAACACTGCACCCAAGACTATATCCCGCTATATCTTCTTATTATAGGTCATAACATGCCATAGATTTAGTATAAACTCAATTATACTAAATCTATGGCGTGTAGAGGTAAGGAGAATAATCTCTCATAGGAGAATAGTTGAAAAAGTGTCTATCTGTAAGCAATAAATAACAGTTTAAAAACTCTCCACAACAGCGCTGGAGTAGCTACAGGAAACAGCTACACTTACATGAAATGAACTCAGTCAGTTGTCGACGGTGTGAAGTGCGTTGCTAAACTGCTCAGTAGCTCTAAAATCTAAAATAATTTTATTTAGTAAATATAATTCCTCGAAAAATCTTCTATCCCACTAATATTTTTCGGTGCGTTCTTTAAAATTTACTCCGTAGCTATAGTGGCGCCAAACTTGTTTAACGGTTTTCTACGAACACTTTTAATACGCAGTCTGTACTCCTTACCTCTATAATTTATACATTCAATTCATACACCTCATAACTAAGGAGTACTACCTCTCATAGTAAAATAGTTGAAAAAGCGGCCATCTGTAAGCAGTAAATAATAGTTCAAAAACTCTCCACAACAGCTCTGGAATAGCTACTGGGATAAAATGAACTTAGCAGTTGTCGACGGTTTAGAGTGTGCTGCTAAATTTCTCAGTAGCTCTAAAATCTAAAATAATTTTTTAGTAAATATAACCTCGAAAAAGTCGTCTGTCCCACTAATATATTTTGGCACGTTCTTTAAAATTTAACCCATAGCTATAGTGCGCCACCCTTATTTAACGGTTTTCTATGGACACTTTTTAAAAAACAGTCTGTCTGTACTCCTTACTTCTACACTCCATACACTATGAAAGAGAGAGAATTATAGACAGAGAATTATACACAGAGCAATTTTTGTATACCTGAAGGAATTATATTCTCTGTCTGGTAGCCTGTGCCCAAGACCATAGATTACTGACTATGCACTAGAGACCCGTAGACAGAGAGACATATATTACTTTCCTCTATGGAGAGACCCAAGACCCAAGTGTCATCTGGGTATATAAGATGGTGTAAGGTTATTTAGCCTCACTTTATAAATAATACTTGAAATATGTTCAATGAATAGTACTTAAAACAGAAACAAGTACTTATTTATTTTAAAAATGATAGCTGGATATGGGGCAGTGACTCAGGCCCTTTTAGGGACCCTTCTGACGTGGGGACTTACAGCTCTTGGAGCCGGCTGTGTATTTTTTATCCGAGGAAAACATGTTAGTAATCAAGTCGTCTACTAGTGCATATATTTTTGATTCTTGATGTTGTAATCCATCAAGAAGTTTTGTTTTTCAGAGAAAGTTACTTGACGTGTCACTTGGGTTTGCTGCTGGTGTTATGACAGCAGCTTCGTACTGGTCCCTATTGGAGCCTGCAATTGAAATGTGTCAAGAGTCCGGTATTTATGGAGAAAACGGACAATATGCTTTCGCACCGATTGCAGCGGGATTTTTATTCGGAGCCGTGTTTGTTTTTGGAACGGATAAATTTTTGGATTATTTGGGAATTAACTCAACAAACATGATGATCAGTAAGTAATTTTTGCTATTGATTTTGATTTAAAACGTTCAAGGCTTAATAAACTAAAGTACAGGCAGGTACGGGATGTCGGTGCACAAGTGTTGAACATATAAATGTTCTATTTGTTCCACAATTTGGAAACATATATACATTCCAAACCTGAGCACCAGCTTCCTCTCTTTTCTGATAGGGCTTAGGGCTTGTTAGCAGAATTCATATGTCTTTGAAATATATATATTTTTTAATTTCTTACACATAAAAGTTTTCTCATAATGTTTTCCTTCACCACTTGGCATGCGGTAAGTTCGCAATTAAAATTTTCTATTTACTATTTCATCGGTGAAATATTCAGTAAGTTAGCTCCCTACCCAGTTATTTTGCTTAAGTAGGCACATTATTCATTTTAATTTCAAGTATCTAGATCATGTTAAAGAAATTTTAGCTGGTATTTATGGAATAATGTTGACTTTGATATTTAAGAAAGTTGCCATTATTGACTTTTGAATAAAAAATTCCCTGAATTTTACAATCATTAAATTAATTTTATTTCTATTTCTTAATAAAAAGTTTGCTTTTATTACTTAAATCATTTTCTCAAAACTCATTGATATTAATTTAGAACCTAAGCCATCAAAAACACAGTGTGGTTGTTCTAACAAGCGACAGAGGAAAATGAAAGAGGAGATGTGCAGCACCATCTGCCTTATAACTAATGTGGGAACCATGGCAACTATCCCTCTTATAAGGCAGTCTACCGGGAATCCTATGTTCAGCAGTGGACTCACTGTAATATTGATATTTTAATGTTTGTTAATGAAAAACTTCTGTTGTAAATAATAATTTAGAACTAGAAAATCATTATTCCTTCCTTATTGTCATTACAATATGCCTAATGTCTAAGTTTCCTTGATTTCACATTGAATTTAAAAAAAGATGCATTGACATTTTAAGTTATAAAAATCTCCTATTCAAAAACTATTTCACAAGTTTTGTTTCAAAATTTTTGTTTGTGTGGTTATATTTTTAGAAGAAATAGTTTTAGTGATAATATGAATTTACAGACATTCTTTGTAGCATATTGGGTAATCTTATTAGTGACCCATCTTTTTGCTAGATATTTACCAAGTGCAATTTGTTTATGTAAAATGCCCCCATGATGTAGGAATAAATTCTAGTTTGGACTTAACATATTTCATTAATAAAATACTATTAGTTCTTTTAATAATATCATTTTTGTCATTTACTATGATTAGTATAGTGAATCTATAGATTTCATAGTAATAATAAATGTTTTTTAAGTACTAATAGTGATATATCAATATCACAAACAGTATTGTTTTGTAAAAAAAATATAAATATTATTAGTTTAACAAGAAATAAGTAATTTCTGGTTTTTTTAAATTTTAATTTACAATTATATTTTATTTGTGACCTGTAATAGAACAAAAAATTACTAAGGCCACTAATGTGAATAAAAACACATCCACATAATGATTCCAGCCAAATAGCAGTAGGTTTGTCAATTAGTTAGCCACAGCATATTAGACTTCATAACATGTTACTTAGGTTTCTGTTTTGCTTACTAATATTATAATTGTTAAAGTGTGTTGGTTTCTTTGGTTCTTTGGACTACAAGTCTAGAGATCATTTTTATTATGTAAAAATGCATGGATTCTTGTTCTATAATTACCTCTTTATGCTGGCTTAGGTTTTGCAATAACACATTGGAGGTGATTTTTTAAAAAGATATTATCTGGCCTCCATGTGGTTGAAGCCACGGGCAAAATGCTAGTAAGAAATGGTAAGGTTAAGATTCTAGTAAATATAAAAATACTAGCTTGCCAGGCAAACATTCTGCCCTTATCGGCAACCCTTTGTCATTTCCTATTAAAAATCCCTAAATTCGCAAAAAAATGTGGGTCACTCATGGGCAACAAAAACTATCCTATCTCTCAAGTCGGGCCAAACTGCACATGGTGTGCAAATTTGATTAAAATCGGTTAAGTAGTTTAGGAGTCCATCGCGGACAAACAACATGACACATAATTTATATATATTAAGATTACACATATTTTATTAATTTCTATATTGATGTCTTAAGTACTTATCAAAATTTTTTTCTTTAATTTTTGTATTGTCATTGAAATGTGAAGATAATATAAGTCAAAGTATTTGATTACTATTTGGCTTTGTGTTGCACTAAAAGATTATATATTCCAATATAATAACACTTATAATATTAATAATAATTTTAGTTCATAATAATGGTTGTATTCGACCCGAAAGATAACTCTGATGCATATTTTCGTAAAACGTCATGGATGGATTGTCTTCACTCTAAAAAAAACCGTCATTAAAAACTATGATTTTCCGTTGTAGTGCACTAAATAAAGATTTCATCTTCCTAAACCCGTAATTTTCTGCAAATAATCTGCTCACATCGTTACGATATCGCCCTTGAAAAAACCCTAAAACATGAAGTTTTCAATGCAAATTGCATATGCCGTCTTAATATTTCAGTTCAGGCCTCCACAGGAGTCTGAACACAGGATGAGTTCTTTGACTTTTGAGTCTAGATTTAAAGATATATGTTTGCGTAAAGTGGAGGCTACTTCTTGTGCTCCCCTGACTGCTATTTCTTCCACCCTGACTTTGGTGCTTCATTCTCGAAAGGTTGAAAGATTGTGCGTGTGGTGAATGGTGATGCGCATTAACAAATTAAATACCATTTAGGTGGTTAATTCGATGCTGCGGTTTAAAAAGAGTTGAATCAAAAGGCAAAACTGAATTATCTTTATAGTGTATGTGTTAATTCGTTTATGTAATATGAAAACTGTTTGTAACCGTAACTTTGATGCATAATTCTTTAATACAAAGCGAATGTGTGTGCAAATTCTAACAAAGTTGGAAATGTAGCTTGATTCAACCCCTTACAAGGCAGTAAGAGTGGTTTTTGAACACAAAAATAGCTGAATACATAGTTTATCTATAGTCGATCTGCATAAAAATCGATTTCGTCACTTAATTAATTGGTACATAACGCAGTCCAATTATTTATTAGTCTTAAATTAAATTTCTTTCAAACTGTTTAAATTGATAAGGTTTTGCATGCTGTTACCAAATTTTTAACCTTTGTATCTTTCTTTTTTTTAACTCACTTTTAGTTTTATTCAGTGATACTAGCAAAAAAGCATGTAGTGTTTACCCTTAAATGTTTTACATACCCTGTGCATATAATGTATATATTTAAAGAACATATGTTATATAAAATCGCTGGTAGATTCAGTAAATAAATAAATAGATTGCCTCATATTGAGACATTTGCCATAGTTGACACACTTGGCAGGCGGGTTGGCTACAACTATTTTTTTTAAATTCTTTGCTGATCCCCATCTCCTGGTTTGTACATTGATCATGTAGTGGTGAACTAAGAATATCAACTACCCCATGTCGTTCCGGGGGTGAAGTAAGAGGCGAAAGAGGAAAATAAACAAGGAGATTGGCAACAACATCTTAATAACAACTCATTATAAAAATCTGTGGTACCCAACCAACCTATCATGCGTGGCAACTGTGACTTTATTACCTCTGACTCCTCTCCTCTGACTCTGACTCCTGATCTTCTAACTGTGGCAAAATTGCCTCCAGCCCTCGGCAGTTCAAGCAATGGTCCCACCGTAGTAGGGTATGCCCGGTAACCATGGTAACGGCGGAGCAGATGTTGTTATGAATCTTTGGTGAATGCTCGGTTAGCAAAGTTTTAACGCATGTCATCTGAGGAAAATATCTTACTGACTGGCGATAAGATCTTCGAGTTGAAAGAAGGGGACAAGTTGCGCTGGGGTAATTTTTTTTAAAAAACTTTTTGGAAAAGGGTGACAAGCGAGCACACGTCCACTTGATGGCAAGTGGTTGCTGTAGCCCATAGAAATCTACATCTATCCTCGTTTGCGAATCAAAATGCAGATGCGTTGTCAGCCTTGAGGACTAAAACGGAATGCCTCTTTTCCAGTAAAAAAGGGTCTCCAGTTCTCTACACTCACCATACGAAACACAGCAGCATTAAGCTGCTATTTGACGCTGGAGACTTATTTTACATATATAATACAGACTTATTATATACGGACAACGCATAGCTAAACTAAGCATCAGAAAAAATGTTGAGCTGAAGTAGGTGTATTTCGAAATAAGGCAATGGAACCCAAAGGAATCAACCACTGGCCGACTTCATGGAGAAGGAGGGACTCTTTGTGATGAACTCTTTCAGCACAAGATTCAGCCTTACTAAAAGTGAATCTAGACGAGCCCCGGCGGTTCGACAAAAATGAGATTGACTTCATTATGACAACCTGGCAACTGTTTAGTGATGTCAACTTGTAGTGATTACCGAATTGTGAGAGGCACAACTTAACGTTAAGTCGAAGAGGTCACGTTTTATGAAGTTATTTCTTCATTCCCCTTGTGCTCTAATCCAAAGCTCCGTAAACTTTTAACTCGAATTACAAAATCTTTTTAATGCTTATTATTGCAATGATGCTTAAATATTGCAATGATAAATTCGAGGAAACTGTCCATGCGGTTGGAGCTAAGTTCTGCAAGATATATCGTAAAAGAACCCAAACTTTTCTATCACACTCTTGGCAATGGTTAGACGGGAAATAGAGCAGCAGTTTTCAGTCTTTAATATTTATGACAGGCTACTGAACAGACATACCTCCAAATGTATGCAATCAGGCTTACGCAACTTAAATACAGCTCGTACTGAAGAAGCGATTGAGCATTCCGCTAGGCTCCAATCTTTGCCAGAGACCAAGTGTGGTAGCATGACTTGGGACACCTGAGATTTTGAGTGAAATTGAGAAGCAGGGAAACTGCTCGTGAAAAGCTGTTGATGGCAATGATGATGATTCCGAAGTTCTCTATTTGAGTTCGTCATTTGATGCAATAAGTGAGAATTTACTTACTAAGAAAGAAGACGATGCTCAGTTTACTATTTTATGAACGAACATT